GCAGCAGCTGGTGGGGGTGGGGCAGCAATTGGGGGGCTGGGTGGAGCATGTGGGCCTTGTAGGGGAGGGTGGTAGCCTCTGCGGGGAGCCATTTGGCCCTTGTTGGGGGGCTGTGGCCCCTGTGTGGCCATAGGCCCCGAGCAGCCAGTGCTTTACACTGTAGATATATCAATAAAGCATTGCCCAACTGATCACTGTCTCTCTGTCTCTCTCTCTCTCTGTCTCTCTCTCTTTATAGTGGTCTTTTGTTTTAATTGTGGAGGAACATGGATTTTTTAGGTATTTTACAGAGAGACTTTGAGATTTTTTTTTATCAGGGATTCTTCAGTTTTCCAATACGAAACACCAGAATTCCTGCTAGGGAGGCCAGTGGCAGGTCCCTGCCTGCTCAGAGCTGGCACTTTGGACCCAGCTGGCTGTGGCTGACCTCCTGGCGAAGTGGGGCCAGGAGGACATGCTTTGACAGTTCAAAGCAGGCCACCAGACCCGGAACGTCTGGGTGATGGCTGCCCAGGTGGCTGAGCAGGGGGAACATATGGCAGTAGTGCCACACAGAGGCCAGCCCTGCAGCCACAGCCCACTGGCAGCTGGCCCAGAGGGGCAGATGCCTCATCTCGGTCTGGCAGGTATGCAGCAGGTCACAGCCAGGTAGTAGCTCCGGCTGCCAGACTGCTGCAGTGGGTAAAGTGTGCAGGGAACTCTCAGGGCTGCTTCAGCAGTCCAGCTGGCACAAGGGGTAGTGTCCCCAAGTACCAATTGGCTGGGTCCCAAAAGCTCCTGCGAGTGAGTAACCATGAGCTACTTGCCAGGTCAGCTTTTTTCACCACTGGGGCCAGGACAGGGCACCTTTTTATATTGCTGGGGACATCACAGGTGCTGGCCCTGGGCTCTAGCTCCCCGTGGCTGCACATCTGGGAAGATACAGGCAGGGTTATTTTGCCCCAGGTGGCACAATTTGCTCCACAACAAAGTGCATGTCCGAGCACGTGCATTGTGGCAAAAAGCCCCAGCTCAACTTTGCACTGCTTCTATTTGAGGTGCTGCAAGCGCACGTGCTTGCATGTGTGGACATGCCCTAAGTGGCTGGAGGCTGCCTGCCTCATGGGCTGCACCAGGGTGAGCCACAGTCCCTGTGGGCTACACAGGTGCGTCCCCAGCTGCATTTCCTGCCTTCGTCTCTTATGTATCCACTGCTCCACTTTGTCTCACTTTACCTGGCCTCACCCTCAGCTCCCTACCTGGGGTAGGGCAGAAAGTACGAGGACCCTGGAGACTTCAGCTGCTGCTGCTGCAGCTAGAGCACTGTGTGGATTGGTGGTTGGACAGGAGCTGGAGGCCTCAACTTTAACCCCTTATCTGGGGACTGCCAGTTGGACTGCCCAGTTATAGAGAACTATTGACAAACAAGCTATTTTTTCTGGATTGTTTTGTACTGCTACCGAAATACCTAAATTTATGGTAATGAAGATTAGAAAAAATATGGCTCTCTATTTACTCTGTGCATTCAACAGTTTGTTTGTGATTATAGTTTCTTTCCCCTGTGTATTTCAGTTTGCTAGTTTTCCTCCTTTGTTTGTATAGGATTTGTGTACTACACAATATTAGAGGGCGAATCATTTAAAACAAATGTGGTTGTTTTTATCTTTAAAAAATAGGAAACATTGTTAAGAGAATTTGGGTCAGGTGTTACATCTTTTGAAATTGTCTAACTGACTGCATTTCCAGTTGATTGTGTCCATGGGCAGATTTAGGATTTTGAAACGGGCTTATGTACTACATCATCCCATATAATACAACAAATTTTTCTCCAGTGAAAAAGAAATAAGATGCTGTACTAATATGCTAAGGGTCCAAGGGTAATTTTTTTCAATTATAATTGAAGCAGAAACATTAACTTCATTGGAATGTGCATTAATTTGCTATTTTATATAAAAGCACAACAAGCTAGGTAAAAGATAACCAAAAATACTGTTTAATTAGTCCTATAGTCATTGGAGTTAAATGTATATCTCCTTTTTTAGATTCATAAAACAAAGTCTAAACTTCTTGAGCATCTTGGCAGTGCACCCACTGCTTCACTGAAAGTTATTTCCACGAAGGTTTACTTGAATTAATGTTTTTAGCTAAAGTTAAAAACAATCTGCAATGCTGTTCAATAGGAGCAACATTACCAGGAGCAGCTAACAGACAGCAGAACTGCAAAAGAAAGTGTAACTTAGTGGACTATCAAGACCATTATAAAAGAGTGATGGCTATTAACATCTGTGGAATGAACTGTTTAAAAGGAATTGGGTAGATTATAATGAGCCATGAATTCAATTGAGTATCTCACTGCTACCTGAATAAAATTGCTGCTGCTGCTGCCATGCAGTTAGTTTTAAACTTTGGGTAGAATCAGGGGGTGTGACTTCACCACTGCATCTCCCTGGGTTCACCTCTCTTGTGTCCTCCTTTTTAAAGCACTTCAGGATCCTCTGACAAAGGCATGAGTGGGAGTGATGTCTGAAGAGTATCAAAATCATAATATTTTAACAAATTAATTTAGCTTAGCTCAATGCATTCTGAATTGAACCCTTGAAAACAGCAGCTATGTATTTACCGCTTTTTATTTTTGGGCGTTTTCTGTAATCAAGACACTAACATTTTCTTATTCTTTTCGTGTCTTAGGGTGACATTCCATGGGATGAGAAAGATTTCTGGGTGTTCATCATGACAAATGCAGTTTTCTGGCTTTATGTTATGTATTACTTAGGTAGAAGTGCTGAGAGAGAAATTACGTGGAAGGATTTTGTTAATAACTACCTGTCTAAAGGAATGGTAAGTAGAGTTCAGGACAATCCTAAAGGAATATAAGTAAACTAACAGCAACATCAGCATGAATTCTTTTGTTGGAGGACTCCACGGAAGTCCACAGAACCTCGTGTGGCCAAGTATGGTGTAGCAGTCTTTGTGTCTTGTGTGACCCCCTTTTGCTTGACTTGCCTAGGAGCTGGCCCTTTTTTGAGGAAACTGAGGTGAAAGTTCTGGCCAAAAAATCCAAGGGGTTGTATGCGAACATTAGATCTCTTCCTACAGTCTTGGATCTTTGTCTCTGCCACTTCCAGTTCCATTACTTGCTTTTATGTAGTGAAGAGGAAGAAGGAGAAACGTAGGCATGCCCTCTTTTCATCCTATGGACCACATGTTGGGTAGAATATTCTTGTTCTCTAGTCTTTCAACAGCTTCTAAAGTCTATCCATCTGCTTCTCTATTCTACTTGGGCTGTCATATAGTATTTGTTTCTAATTGGCTTCTTGGTCACAGGTCAGAGAGACAATAAACCTTTCATTTAAAACTTTCTGGGGCTACTGCTGAGCATAGTGTATATACTCCATCTTATGAGCAAAGAACTGAATGAGCCATAATAACGAAATTAAACTATTAGACAATTTCAGAACCTCACAGTGAACCGAGCTGAATCCTCTCCGCAGAAAACCATTACCAAAATGGGTTGTTACATAAAACCAAATGGCTAGTCTCTTCGGCTTCTGTAAGACAAAAGCTGAAGCCTGGCCTCCATATAAGGTGAATACGTAAATTTCAATATTCGAACAGAAAGGCATTTCTCTGTCTTCCTTTTTATAATCTCTAAATATACATAAGCATTTATTTTTTAAAAAGGGAGAAAATACAATTAATTTTCAAGTAACTAGAATGATCTATTTTAAACATTCGCTTTTTTTTCTTTTAAAAGGCCACTGTCATTAAAGGGGAAACAAAAAGATTGAAATCTAGTTCATTAAAATTAATAAAATTTACTCCTCTGCTTGTTGGGCTTTGAGGTTTATTTACCTGGTATGCCTGAGAATGTCTTAATTTTATTGTTTTCTGGTATACTTAGTAATTTCTCTCTGTCTAGAATTTTTTACATAGCTACAAGGAATATTGAAGAAAAACTGATCACAAAAGCAGAAGTTGAGGTTTAGGTGCAAGTGCAAGAAACTTTAAAGTAATTTTACCATCTTCATGTCTTAAGGTTACAGTCAGAACTTTGAACATGAATAGAGTGTACCTGCATTGTGTTTTAGATGACTGGTTATTCAGTTTGAAATTTTTTTTATGGGGGGAGGGTGGGGTTATCATATGCATTCATGGGAGGATCAGGGCTGGGGTGGGACTGGGGGAGCTCAGCCACATACTCCTTCAGCTGCGTGGCCCATATACAGTTCACCTCTGAGCTCATGGGTTCATCAACACAGCTTCTGTTGGAGCCACTCCCTAGTTTCAGTCCTAGATCCCAGGGGTGAACATCACCACTACTCCCTATTCCCTTGCCTCCTGACATTTTTAGCATGTGTACCCCCCTCCTTCCTTCCCAGTTTTGCCCTTGTATGGATTTAATGCTGACAGTGTCAGTTACGTTAGGTAGTTTTGAACTTCTGAATTTGTTTGCATTAATTTCCAACTTTATTTTTGTACTAGTGTAACACTGTGGGTTTTTTAACACTTAAATTAATGTTGAGAGAACAGAAGAAGAACCTACCTATTTTGTGAGCTCCCCCAAACGTATGCATGACACAGTAGTGCTACACACAGGCACTTGTTTCAATAATTTGCACAGTAAAATGCAGTAGTACCCCAAAATTCATAGGGTTAGGTTCTATAGCACTTGTGAACCAAGTGGGGTTGGGGGGTGGGGGGAGAAGTTATGCTGCTGCAGCTGATCCAGCTGATTGCTGTGACTTTTATTTCAGCTGTGTGGGACTACTCTTGTGCTCCTTCTAAGTGGAGACTTACTGCCCTTCGAAGTAAAATCTGCAGCAGACAGCTGTGCAGATCATCCTTCACTTGGCAACTCACTATGAGTTAAGTAGATGGCGAGTCACTTAGATATGGATCGTCTTCAATCTACTGTAGCCTTTGTAGTGTTCTTGTATGTGTATAATAAGATATTTCGGATATTTTAAGTACAGTTTTCAAATGTAGATGCTCTAGCATGATGTAGTAATATGCATCCAAATAAGACTGTTTTTTCTGTGATTAAAAGATGTCTGTTTGAGCATCTGGAGTGTGTCCTTTTTAGTTCAGTACTCTTTTATTGTTAATTATGTTTAGATTCATGCACCTGCCCTTCCAAGTAGGAGATTTTGGTTCCCCCTGCTTGAATGTCCACTTGTATAATGATTGAAAGAAATGTAAGTTGATATATGCATTTGCAGCTGGATACAAAAAGGTTACCTTCCTGACAGGCTGCACTTGTGTGTTTTATACCAGTGGTTCTTAACTTCTTTAGAGTCAAGGTACCTGTCTGTACCATTTTTGATTTTTAGCAGCACCCTGATGACATGGGATGCCCCTACTAACAAGTGGCCCATACTGCACTGCTGACTCCCACCCACTTTATGGTTTGTTAGGATCTTCCCTAGGATGTTGCTGCTGTGCTGCCTCAGCTTATCTCAGCGGTTCTCAGCCAGGTTGCTACCACCACACCCAGATGGAACTGCCCCACCTGTCTTATGGACAGCTACATTGGAAAGGGCTGGGGGCAGGAGCTCTTGCTTTTGACTGCTTTAGGGTACTCTGATAAGCCTAAAGCAGGCAAAGGCATCAGGACGCATGGTACAGAGGCAGCTTCTGAGTGCTGCCACGCCTCTGGTATGGCCATGGCAGAGCTATTATTTTTTCAGTCTGTTCATTCTCCCCGATGTTGGCATTCAGGACTGCTGCCCTGGTCATCCTGCCTTAGTTATGCTACTGAAAGCATACAAGAACCAGCCACTCTTACCACAGCTTTTCCTGGTCTGCTTCCTACTCTCTCCCCCTGCCCCCCTTTGGAAACAGAGGCGTGCTGGACAGTTCCATGTGCCCTGTGCACCTCTTTCTGGGGGACACCTAATTTGTAACTTGGCTTTGTGCAGCAAACTGCTGTCTCCTGAGCTTTATTTAATACAATACTGGATCCCTACTCTTAAATTTGATGCATATTTTGTAACAGTTTTACTTCATCCTAATGAGTTCAAACAACTTTTCAATAGATGTTTTTCAAAAGGGTTTGGATAAGTGAGGATGGTACTGTATTTTAAAGTATTGCCAGATTTGATACCAGGTGTTTCTCATTAAGACTGTATTGTCTGAGCTCTTCAAATAAAGCTGTTTCTGAGTTATAATGTTGGTGTGTCAGAGACTGAGACTACCTAATTGTGAAACATCTTTCACTTGCTAATATCTGAAACAGCCCAGTAGACTCTTGGGCAATCTTTTGGAAGAAGAGGAAGACTGACAAATATCAGATTTAATGGAAAATTATTGATAGTTAAGCAACTGAAAGTAGTTGTTTGTAATAGAATGACCGTCATGCACTGAGCTATAGCCTCTATGCTGTAAGGGACTCCCAACCTTTAACTTTACTGTCTCTATACACTAAAAAGAAAATGAGGGTCCAAATTCATGTGGGAAATGTATCCTATTATTTTAGTAGTTAATCTGATCTGTCATTCATAATGTATTAAAATGTTTCTTTCTTCTCTCTTACAGGTGGAAAGGCTAGAAGTGGTCAACAAGCGCTTTGTTAAAGTGATCTTTATCCCAGGAAAGTCTCCACCGGATGGGGTAAATTTTAACTTTTACTCTGGTGAAAGGCATTGCAGGAAATAGCAGATACTATTTTATACTTCAGATGCAAAACTTATAAAAAAATCTGTGTTGGTGACTGTTCACTTTAACACTTTTAGACCTGACAAGCTTATTGGTGCAACCTGCCCTACTTCAAAAAAAAAAAAAATAAGATGCGTATCTATAGGCTGTAGTCAAGGGGCAGGCAAAATACAACCTGTGGGCTGGATCCAGCCTGCCAGACTATTTCATCTGGCCTGCAGATGCCCACCAATAAATTGTGCCCAGCCCATGCACTTCGCTCCCACCCTCGTGCATGGGAGGGCCCCGGCCAGCACTCGCAGCTTTGGGGTGGGGCCACTACTGCAGTATCTGGGGTACCTGCTTGGCTTCCCCAGCCTAGAGCAGTGGCTTCTTATGTTCCTGCTGCTGTGCTTGCTCCACGTAGCGGGTAGGGAAGCTGCAGCTGGGTGGGAGCTTGGAGCATGGGGCTGGCAGGAGCCCAGAGTTTGCACTCAGCAGGGTGGTAAGAGTGCAGAGCAGGGTAGATGTATGAGGTTTGAGGGAGGGTGGTGGGGTTGGGGGGACCATCGTATGTGACTCCTCCCCACCCCCCTTCCTCCATGGTGCATAGCTTCAGTCAGGAGCAGCAGCAGGCCCTCGGGGTGCACGTGGCCCGCATAGGTGCAGCTGCCAGGCAGTGCACAGTTCCAGCCACTTCCAGAAGCTGTGCTTGGTAGGAAGGAGCAGAGCCAGGCTGTATTGCGTGGGGCTCCCTGTTTTTCAAGTGTGGCTTCTGGGACTTGTGCGCCACTGTGGGGAAGCCCACATATGTGATGGAACCGACAGCCTGTTCCCACTCCCTCCACCACGTGCAGCTCTTGGGACTTTTCTCGAAGTGGCAGGGAGCCCCACTTCTTGCTTCCTGGTGGAGTCTTACCAGTTGTGTGTGGCGGCAGGTTGCAGGGAAGGGAGCTGGCTCCATTGCATGGGGCTTTCTCCCAGTGATGAGTGAGCCCCACATGATAGAGGCAGGCTGGCCTGCTCCTTGCTGCCATGTGCAGCTCCCGGAACTGGCTGGAGCTACATGCTGCTGAACAGCTGTCTCTGCATGGGCCACGAG